GTCTCTGATATAATGTAAACATGTAGAAATCAGAGATAACAATATCTTGTAAACATACAGAAATCAGAGATAGATATAATGTAAACACAGAAAGCAGTGATAACATTATATCTATCTCTGATTTCTGTGTTTACTTGTTTGCTGTCTCTGATATAATGTAAACATGTAGAAATCAGAGATAACAATATCATGTAAACACACAGAAATCAGAGATAACAATATCATGTAAACACACAGAAATCAGAGATAGATATAATGTAAACACAGAAAGCAGTGATAATAATACAGTTAACAACACAAAATATATTTCAATTGAAACAATAAACATGCCAGTTACACTAGATCTAATCAAAAAACACCTTAGGTGTGAAAAAAAAGATTCAGCGTGCGACCTAAAGGAATGAAATTAAAATTGGTGGCCAAACTGGTAGCTACACTTATAGCATTGATAAGGATTTTACAGCAAATATTCATTCATTAGTTATGTTTTTTGTTCAATATGGGGCATGATGGTGGGTAAAACAAAATATGTGGCCTAGATGACTGATGAATGAATACTTGCTGTAAAATTATTATCAATGCTATAAGTGTAGATACCAGTTTGGCCATTTCATTTCATTCCTTTAAGTCGCATGTTGAATCGTTTTTTGGCCTCATATTTTTTTCACATCCAGTGTTTTTTGATTAGATGTCATGACTTTTTACCAATACACACCAACAAAATAAGAAAGTGACACCAGATCTTTACAATCTTCAATTACGACTCTCATTTGGTGTAAATATAAATCACATGTGCAAAGTTATTCAACAAAAACCAATCAAATTCAATGAAAATTTTTTGCACACCTACACAAAAAGTCAGGTGAGCTATTGGTCTTAAATTTCTACTACAGCTTCACCTCAAAGGAAAAGTGGACCATTTTTAGTTTTTTGTCATTTGGATTAAAGATGGTTGATTTCAACCAGCAAAACTATAAGGTGAAAGGACGTACAGATACACAAGTATTGGTTAGGCCAAGCAAACTAGACTAGTAGTTTCTAGCCCAAGTTTTTCAAAAGAATCGCATAGGTGGATGGGTTATTATTGATTATTCATTGCAAACTTTTCAGCACAAATTTACTAAATTTTATGAAATTATCCTAATTAAATAAGCATTTGATGTCACATGATATGAGCTTAAGCAATTAGCATAAATAATGATGATGTTTGACAGAGCTGTACCAATTGCATGGTGGTAATGACAAGAAACTGTGAATCTAAATTCCATGGTGTTACTATAAAGAAAGTTATTAACACTTTTAGAGTGGAAAAACTACCACCATATATTTAAAAGAATCTAGTTGGTTCTGTAAAGTAAAGGTCTGTTTCGAATAATGGGGTTGCGATCCTAAGGCTAATGTTGGTTACTATCGATCAGTGTACTAAATTTGAAAAAAAATCCATAAAAGCTAAGTATATTTTTCTATCAAATAAAATTACCATACCTTTGGTGCAAAGAAAAAAGAAAGGAAGAAACTCAATTAAAATTGGAGATGTTATATCTCGTGTATTTCTTAGTGGATTGCTTTGGAATCTGGTATGAAGTAGAGCACATCCACGGAAAATATGTAATAATTTGGATTACTACGGTCTGAGCTATAGAATGAGGAAAATCACTAAACTATCACTCTTGTTAATAACATGTAGTGTCCTCTGCAGGTTGTTTTTTTTTTTTGGCCACACAACACACTACCGTGTGTCTTAAGTTTAAGTTTTTGCATTAGATATTAAGCTTATACTAACTAGCAATGAATTAAACCCTAAGCCTCACCAAAGGCTTCCGTAAATTTAGTTTCTTTGTTATGATGGTTTTCCTATATTTAAAACACCTATTATCATGAATACTACAACTACATATTTATAAAACTTCACCCACATTAGCTTCCTCTCTCTCTTATTGAAAGATATTTAGAATTTTATGTTTTTTATAAGTTAAATCTAGGGTAATGGCAACATAAGATATTTATATATTAAAAGCACATGAAAACAAATGTAATTTAATCAAATTTTACATTCAAGCACTTGTTTTATCTTTTCACAACAGTTTCATTCTACTTTTAATGCTATCATTTTATTTAAGCTTCTTATGTTATTTCACTGCAGCCATTTTACTTTGATTCTTATTCCTTTACATACTTTACATTTGCCTAGATTTAAACAAGTCTGACATGCTATACTAATGGATATAGAAAAAAATGATTCTTTAAACAAGTACACAAGATATTATGACAGATTTTATCAGCACTATTCAAGACACAAGTTTCATTAATTTTATAATAATTTAGGTGAATCTTGTTTATTCCAACATTCCTCCCAGTGGTCAAATGCAGAAATAAAGGTTTTATTTTCAAAGGTTTCTTTTTCTAAAAATATAGAGCAAATTGTGGTTTCACAAACCAAAATAGTGTTAATTGTATACAAGTAATTTATATTTTATTGATAACAGCTGTGATCTTCTAAACACATCTGTAAAATTTCCATGAAGAAATCCATTACTTTGTGTTTAATGACAGATATTTTACCATGTAAATTCTGATAATGTTGAAAGTGAACTCTGAATTATTCTCCCCCAACAAAAATGCTACAAAATCATTATATTTCATATGGTTGACTCTGAGATTCATTGTTAAAAATATAATACACCAAATTTTATGTAATAGACTACAATGGCATTCAATTATTTTTGTTATTCTATTTAAAAAAAAAGGTGTTTTTTAAAACTTGTAACTTATTTTGTGCATTAACAAAAATGTGTATCATGTGTATAATGTATAGAATTTTAAATTTATTTGTTCAATATAGCCCAAAAATATTAAGAACCTGTTTATTTAAAGGTAAACCTATATATATCACCATAACCATCCAATACAGGTCCATCCATGTACAGTATTCATCTTCAGGAGGCACACAAGTATCTCCTCAACTCTCTTGGAAATATTACAGAATAAGCATTGTCACATCAGGAAACCAAAAAGTGTTCATCAACCCCAAAACTGAAAATAAATGGAAGATGTACATTGATTTTATTTTTTGGTACATGGAGGATTTTGTTTTACTAAATTTTGCTTGAGGTCGTGGTGTTATGGTAACACAATAAGTATCTAGCTATCCTCTCAAAGCTAAGATACATAACACATTAATTTTGTTGAGACTTCTTTATGTAGAATGAATACATACTGATACCCTAGAAAGTCTCTACACTAGAGAAACCCTTACAAAGCAACGCATCGGTAGAAATTTACTGCAGAGTGACAATACATAACCAGCTTTACTTAAACAAAAACTGTTTATAAAAAAAAAGAAATGAACTGAAGAATGACGATAATGAAAAAAAATGAGTCAAAACACTGCAAACAGTGATAGTGATGAGTAATGAAACTGATAGAAAAACGCTATGAATTATCGAAGAGAAAGCACAGAAGAATGCACGATTCAGAATGAATTCCTAATAAAGCTATTTTCTTGGTAAACTTGTGAGCCAAAGAGTTAAAGCTTGAGTTGAATGATTATAAAAACAATCATAACTGGCCAGACAGCTATGACCAGAATGTTGAGTGGCTAACTTAGGGGAAACCGCTACAACCACTATATTCATGCCAACAAACTCCTCAAATCAAGCCTTACAGCTTCTTATGATATATTACAACTTTTCCAGATCTCGTGTGGACCCTACTCTTTTTTTTTAACAAGTTGGTCCAGTTGACTCAGAGATTCATTGTTAAATAGCATAAAAATTACTTTTGCAATAACAGGTTTCCAGGAACATAAACAAATCATATATTGGTAATATTTAATCTGATCTACATGATATTGTTAATACCAGAAAAATCTTATTTACTTACTTTCACAAAAAGACCTACATTTACATATCATACAAATTTGTTTTGTTACAAATATCTATTATTTTGTAGTCAAAAACATTTTGTTCTTGATTTCATAGAAAAAAAGGGAGAAAACATAGTAAAAATGACAGTAATATAATACAAATTTAAATAATAAAGCATACACAACTTACTGTTGATGGTAGGAGTGGCCACACAGGAAGTGCACAGAAGGAAGCTCCAACTGGTGCGAGCAGCCACTACACTTGGAAACTTGGAATATCCGGGCACTGAAACACATTTCAGAAATGTTTTCTTTAATTTTCCATTCGAAACAAGACACTGTGGCTATTAATACAAATTGGGGGATATTCAGATTGAAGCTAAATATGACCTCATTGGTACATTCCACAATTTCAAAGTAACAAAGATGAAATGATTTATTATGTCATTTGCTTTCTTTTGAAGGGAATTTCAAGAGTAACCACATAAAAAAGAACCTAAGCAGTAGTCATATATAAACGAAGTGGGTATAAAACTATTTTAAACAAAGACTACACAGATTAACGTAATTAAGAAACAAAAATGTATAATTGTAGAAAGCATCTGGCATCATTGGAATTTCTATGCTCTGATTTTGTATTTCTTCTGGTTATTTCCTTAACTAATTCTAAATGCAAAACTTCTCTTTTGTCTCAAAAACTATTAACAAGTTTACTACATGTTGTATTTTTACATTATAATTTTATTGACAGTCTACTGTGTTATACCTTTACATTATAATTTTATTGACAGTCTACTGTGTTATATCTTTACATTATAATTTTATTGACAGTCTACTGTGTTATATCTTTTATAACAGTAGACTGTCAATAAAATTATAATGTAAAGATATAACACAGTAGACTGTCAATAAAATTATAATATAAAGATATAACACAGTAGACTGTCAATAAAATTATAATGTAAAGATATAACACAGTAGACTGTCAATAAAATTATAATGTAAAGATATAACACAGTAGACTGTCAATAAAATTATAATGTCAAGGTATAACACAGTAGACTGTCAATAAAATTATAATGTCAAGATATAACAGAGTAGACTGTCAATAAAATTATAATGTCCTTGACATTATAATTTTATTGACAGTCTACTCTGTTATACCTTGACATTATAATTTTATTGACAGTCTACTCTGTTATATCTTGACATTATAATTTTATTGACAGTCTACTGTGTTATACCTTGACATTATAATTTTATTGACAGTCTACTCTGTTATATCTTTACATAAGTGTATTGACAGAGGTTACTTATTTTTCACACAAACATCTAGTCTATTGTATTTTTACCTAAGCAATATGAATTGGTTTAGAATTGATAATTTACTCAAAAATTTAATATCATTCTAACAAAAAATCATGCATGTAAATAATACTTAGTTCTCATTTCTTCCATCTGATTCCTTAGCTTCTGAGTTTCTTCTCGATATTGTCTGATTAATCTTTCATTCTCAGAGATACGGTCATTCTCTTGTTGAAGGTATCTGATCAAGTAATCCTAATGAAGAACAAAAACAATAATTATAACAAATATATGGCTAGAAGGGAATAAAACTTTACACAACAATAAGTGTACCAACTAAAGGCTATATCCACATTCACCATTTTAAACATTTCTTATGCTCTAACCATAACCATATGCCTTTGTTTATTATTTGTTAAGCACAAAGCCACACTGATGGTATTGAACCTCAAGCTTACAAATGAACCAATAGGGGGCATATAATCCAAC